GATTGGGGGTTGGGTGGAAGCTGTGGGGGATGGATTGTAGTTTGTGTTGGGATGGTGTGATAGGTTGTGGGATTCTGAGGATAGTTGTGTGTGTGCTTGCCCTTGCTTCTCTGTTCTGCTCTGACTGACATCTGTTGGTTCCATCCTTGTTTCCTTTCCTATCTCCTTTCGCTTTTTTGTCCTCTCCCTCAGCTGCGGTCTCTCTGTTTGTGTTCTGTCTCTGTCTAGGAACACCTTGTACTCTTCTGAGTTTTTCAACCTTGGTTTCTGTTGGAGGATCCTGTTCCTCACTGTTTCTGTCCTGAGAATCAGCTTGATCGGTTGGTTTCTCCCCTTCACGTACCCCCCTATTCTCTGAAAATTTACAATCTCATCCATGTCTTCTCCCCCTATTTCTGTGATGATTTTCCCAATCTCCTTTCTTCCTGCCGTCTTTCAGTGTGTGTCTTTTCCTCTCTCTCCCGAAGCCCATGGATAAACACTGATTTTGCCCTTTCCTCCTCCCATTGCCTCTCCGTCTGTGACTCTGGTTCCTGTCTGTATATGGTCACTTTCTCCCTTGATTTTTTCCAGTGGCTCTTGGTAGCATGGTTGTGCCTCAGCATTCGACTTATCTCCCTCTCTATCTGCACACAGCTCTCTTTCCTTTTACTCCCTGATCCTTCTTTGCAGGCTGATATGACCTTAGGGATAATTTATATCTCCTTCCTTCCCGTTCATCCTCACAGCTTCATATGCTGTGTCTTCTCTGGTCACTGCCCCTGAGACTTGCTTCAGCCTGTTTACCTCAAACTCTAGGACCCTTACCCTGTCTACTGCAGTTTCGACTTGTGCCTCCCATTTCTTCGTCTCCTTCTCCAACCTCTTTTCCATTTCGCAGAGAGCTCTTTCCCCCATTTTTTCAGAAAGCTCTCCTAATTTTCTCTCCCATTCTTGCTCCATCCTTTTCCCCCTGCTTCTCCATCCCTTTTCCCCCCTACCAATACCATTGTCATCTGATCCCTGATTCCACGAGTCCCACCATTTTTTTTTCATTTAGTAAAGGAAAGAAAGAGAAAGAGAGAAAAGAGAGAGAGGGGAGAGAAAAGAGAGAGAAGAGAGAGGGGAGAGAGAGAGAGAGAGAGAGAGAGAGAGAGAGAGAGAAAGAAAGAGAGAAAGAGAGAGAGGGGAAAGGTAAGAGAGGGGGAGAGTGAAAAGGAAAAGGAGTAAGAATGAGAGAAAGAGAAAAGGAGAGAAAGAAAGATGAGGAGAGAGGGGAGAGAGTGAGAAGGGAAAAGAGAGAGAGAGAGAGAGAGAGAGAGAAGAGAGAGAGAGAGAAAAGAGAGAGAGAGAGAGAGAGAGAGAGAGAGAGAGGATGAGAGAAGAAGAGAGAGAGGAAAGAGAGAGAGGGAAGAGAGAAAAAGAGGAAGAGAGAGAGGAAAAGACAGAGGAAGAGAGAGAGAGGAAGAGAGAGAAAAAGAGAGGAAGAGAGAGAAAGGGAGAGAGAGGAAAGAGAGAGAGGAAGAAAGGGGAAAGGGGGAGAAAGAGTAAGAGAGAGAGCAAGAGACGAAAGAGTAAGAAGAGAGAAGAGAGAGAGAGAGAGAGGAAGAGAGAGAGAGAGAGAGAGAGAGAGGAAAAGAGAGAGAGAGAGAGAGAGAGAGAGAAGAATAGAGAGAGAGGAAGAGAGGAAAATAGACAGACGGAGAGAAAAGGGTTAGAGGGTCAATTCACATAAAGGTGTGAAATCCTGTATATGTGTGTGTATGTGATGTGTGTATGTGTGTGTGTGTGGGGTGTGTGTGTGTGTGTGTGGTGTGTGTGTGTGTGTGTGTGTGTGTTGGTGTTGTGTGTGCTACAGCTATTCAAGTGCCCAACAGCAGATCCTGTTCTCACCTAGTGTGTGTGTGTGTGCTACAGCTATTCAAGTGCCCCAACAGCAGATCCTGTTCTCACCTAGTGTGTGTGTAAAGTGAGTGGGGTAAAGCGTGCGTTTATGTAAGCAGTTCCCTTATTTCCCTCGTATGTACTACATATGTTTTGCATATGTACCCTGTCTCTTGGTTTGCACTGTACTGTCTTGGGGTGCCTAAAAAATTTCGTAAATTCACATAAAGGGGTGAAATCCTGTATATGTATGTGTGTATGTGTGTATGTGTGGGGTGTGTGTGTGTTGTGTGTGTGTGTGTGTGTGTGTGTGTGTGTGTGTGTGTGTGGTGTGTATGTTTTGTTTGCGTGTGTATGTGTGTGTGTGTGTGTGTGTGTATGTGTGTGGTGTGTGTGTGTGTATGTGTGTATGTGTGTGTGTGTGTGTGTGTGTTTGTTTGTGTTTGTGTGTGTAAAGTTTGTGTTTGTGTGGTGTGTGTGTTGTGTGTGTGTGTGTGTGTGTGTGTGTGTGTGTGGTGTGTGTGTGGTTTGTTGTTGTTGTGTGTGTGTGTGTGTGTGTGTGTGTTTGTTTGTGTTTGTGTGTGTAATGTTTGTGTTTGTGTGTGTTGTGTGTGTGTGTGTGTGTGTGTGTGTGTGTGGGGTGTGTGTGTGTGTGTGGGGTGTGTGTGTGTGTTGTGTGCTTACCTGATGCATTTGTGGGGTTTTAACTTTGCTCTTGGGTTCGCCTCTGAACAATGATCTTTTAATTCAACTTGATGCTGATCCACCATCATCTTGATCCACAATCATCCTGATCAACAATCATCCTCATGTATTATAAATCTGATCCACCATCATCCTGATATCTGTAAACCTGATCCACCATTTTCTTGATCCCCCATCATAAGGATCCACTATCATCCTGATCCACCAAATCTTATTATGAGACTAAATCATTTCGTCTTCTACTATGTTGCCGTCTAGCCTCTTATAATCTTTACTTCTTAACATTGATAAATGAGACACTTTTGCAACATTTGGCAATCTTTATTTTGGAAACGTTTCGCCAGCCAGTGATTTCTTCAGTCCAATACAGAAAACGATGGATGAGAAGATGGAGCTTTAAGTAATCAGTGATTCAGCCTGGAGTCGATCAGTGTTGATGGACTGAACATATCGATGTGTTCGGTACTTCAGTCGATGTGTTCAGTCTGAACACATCGATTGCTTGAAGCTCCGTCTTCTCTTCCACCGTTTTCTGCATTGGACTGAAGAAGCCACTGGCTGGCAAAACGTTTCCAGAATAAAGAAATGCAGATGTTGCACAAGTGTTTCATTTATCAACTTGTCGGTTTTCTAAACCAATTATTCAAACTTTTAATATTATTACAATCTTGGAAGAGTCATCAACATTCTTGGAAATGGGGAAACGCTCATATTTGGTCCAAGGAAGGAGGAAGTTAGATCCCAGTCTTCTTAAGTCTCTGTAAAAATGTGTATTACAAATCTCTGCTAGTTATCTGAGTATTTAGCTTCCAGCTCTCTCTCTCTCTCTCTCCCTTTATGTCTCTCTTATCTTTCTCTATATACTCTTATTAAGTATGTCAAGATTATGTCTCATCATTTTCTCTGTTCCCGTTCCCGTAATCTTTCTTTTGCCAAGCACAAATTTGCCAGCTTGGTTTATGATGTTCCCTTAATGGGGTTATATGAGGTTGTGATGGGTGACTGGGTTTGATGCCGACTTCTGGTTTAGTTTCTATTTGTTGGATCTTTTTGTTCCTTCGTCCATTTTCATTACTTCGTATAACCGGCCCAAGCAAGTAGTGTTCGACATTCCTCATTAGTTTTGACTCTGATAAGCAGCGTTGTGGCAACTGTGAATATTCATGTTGAGTTATCTGCGAACGTTTGTGTTGTGTCAGCTCAAAAAGTTAGTGTTGTATTACCTGCGTGCGCTAATACTGTGTCATATGCCAACGTTATTGTTGCGTCTGCTGCTCATTAGTATTGAGTTATGTGAGTATGATAATGGTATACAATACCAACAAGTTGATAATGAAGACATTGATAGAATAGTTAAGTATCTTTATTCTGAAACGTTTCGCCTACACAGTACGTTTGTTCAGTCAGATACAGAGGAGTCAGTAGAAACAGCAGAGATGTAAAGACCATGTAATCTGTACATCATCCTCAATCAGCGTTGAGTTATCTTCGAAAGTTGATGTATATAATTCTAGGCCTTAGATGAGTCATGAACTGAACACCTAAGGTTCCAGAACAGAACCTTGTTGGATCTCGCTATATACATAACTCAGCCTCTTTCACTTTGTTGCTGTTGAGATAATTCTCGCTCTATTTACCAGATGAACAAGCCTCTTTCTTAATATCTCCTTCCTCACCTTGCTTACATATTGATTAAGAATATCAGCAGGTAACTCAGTGCTGCTTGTCTGTCTCCTTCTCGAATATTTAAATTCTGTCAGCTGTTTTTCAGGTGTTTGGTAGTTTTCTCTTTCCATCAATAAAGCTTCTCGTCCCATTTCTTTTCCATTTTCTTTAATTTCTTGCTTGATATTTCTAATTAGCTTTTGGCTCTTTTTTTAACTTATTCTTTCCTGATAGCAGACTTTCATTAATTAGGTACATACTTTTGAAGCTTTTTTGGCGTTTTGCTTTCGTTGTCTTGTCTTCAAAACCTACGCAGCTGAGGTGGACTTACTAAGGGACGACCAGGATAGAATCCTAGTCATCTCTGGAGGTCATGGCGAGCATCACAGAGATTACATATATACACGGAGAAGATCGTGTTTTTGTATCACGGTCATAAGTATATTGTAGCCGACTGGTATAATTTTTGGTCACGGTTCAAAATATTCTCTACAATCAGTAGAGGTAAATTATCTTACAACAAGGAATTACATGGGTTTCAATCCGAGTTAACCATGAATCAGATTCACACTTATACAATCGTTAGTCCAGGAACAGACCAGGGAATGTTTGTAAATAAATGGTTCAGAGAACTGACAGGGGATGTTTATTCAACACGTGAGGAAGAAAACGCTCTAATAATACAATGAGAATCACAGCTGACGCCTCACTTGGCTCTCACACCGTGGCTCTGAGAAACACCAGTTCCTCACAGGCCACCCACTCACCTGGTAGTAGTCAGTAGTGTATACGTCTCTAGACATGCCGAAGTCTCCGATCTTCACCACCAAGTTAGCCCCAACCAGGCAGTTCCTCGTGGCCAGGTCCCGATGCACGTAGTGCTACAAATGGAATAAGAAAGATTAAACTTAACAGAGGCACGGAAGATATACAAGATTTTGCAGTTTACAGATTATCTGAGAAATGTTAGCCATGTTAGTCGTAAACATAAATAGAACAAGATGCCAGGTATCGTCATTAAAGCTAATTAATACCTTGGATAGCTTTGGATATAATTTAGACAAATACATGTGTAATAATGGTTGGCATAATCAGTAGGTATACCTTCATAGTTAAATGGACTCATGCGACGTTCTGAATATTTTATTTAAGCTATGTTTCTCTCGTTAAGATCTTCTTTAGTATATTTATATAAATGCTCTCGGTAGGCTTACTGCAGAACTCTTGCATTCCTATTTCATTATGTTTTTATAAGCAAGAACAAGTCTGTGTTTCAATGCTGGAGGCATCAACAAGATTTTTAACAGGTGGCGCTCCGTCAGCAGTTCCTGGTATCTGAGTAATAGCTTCTTGTGTCACGGAGTTAGGAGACTTGGGGCTTTTTGACCGAGATCTGTCATTTTTAGCCCCAGATTAATTATAGTTAATACTGTGCATTTTTTCTTTTGTTTCTCGTCCTTGTTGACCAGCGCAGCCTGCCTCCGTCATCTCGTTTAACTAGTAGGACTATAATAACTTACTCAGGTCAAGCTCTAGAATTTTCTCCTGTTCTTCAAAACATTCCTCTCCCTAAATAATTTTTCAGTAATATCCATTTTTCCCAGCTCACCCTCACTAGGCCTTTCCTTTCTCTTCGTGTTATGCTACGCTATGCCCAAAGGGTCAGTCAGTCTATGGTCAAACAAGAGGCAATTAACAGCAAGGAGAAGCGGGCAATATGCTGGCGCAAGAGAGCCTGTCTTGCACCTTCTCGAGGCCATTGAAGGGGATATTGGAGGGCGTGGGTAGTAACTGTTTGTCTGGCTGGTCAACAGTTGGTTACTAGCAAACAGCCAGCCCCTCCCATGACGCACAGCAGGGGAACTGCAGTACAGACACGACCCCTCTAATCACAAATAGATAAGTAAACATGCATAAACATATGTAAATACACACACATACACACATACACACACACACACACACACACACACACCACACACACACACACACACACACCACACACACCACACACACACACACAAACACACACACACACACACACACATACGCACACACACACACACACACACACACACACACACTGTAAGAAGGCGTTCGGCACAGTTTCACACAGATTAGTGCAAAAGCTGGAGGACCAGGCAGGGATAGCAGGGAAGGCACTACAGTGGATCAGGGAATACCTGTCAGGAAGACAACAGCGAGTCATGTTACGTGGCGAGTGTCAGAATGGGCGCCTGTGACGAGCGGGGTTCCAAAGGGGTCAGTCCTAGGACCGGTGCTGTTTCTCGTATTTGTGAACGACATGACGGAAGGAACATATCCAGAAGTGTCCTTGTTAGCAAATGATGTGAAGTTGATGAGAAGAATTCAATTGGACGAGGCCCAGGCAGAACTACAAAGAGATCTGGACAGGCTGCAGGCCTGGTCCAGCAACTGGCTCCTGAAGTTCAACCCCACAAAGTGCAGTCATGAAGCTTAGGGAAGGGCAAAGAAGACCGCAGACGAAGTATAGTCTAGGGGGGGGCAGAGACTACAAACCTCACTCAAGGAAAGGATATTGGGGTGAGTATAACACCAGGCACATCTCCTGAAGCGCACATCAACCAAATAACTGCTGCAGCATACAGGCGCCTAGCAAACCTAAGAACAGCATTCCGATATCTCAATAAGGAATCGTTCAGGAAACTGTACACCGTGTACGCTAGGCCTATATTGGAGAATGCAGCACCAGTTTGGAATCCACACCTAACCAAGCACGTAAGGGAACTAGAGAAAGTGCAAAAGTTTGCAACAAGACTAGTCCCGGAGCAAAGGGGCATGTCCTACGACGAGAGATTAAGGGAAATAGACCTGATGGCACTGGAGGACAGGAGAGATAGGGGGGATATGATAACGACATATAAAATACTGAGAGGAATCGACCAGGTGGACAGAGACAGGATGTTCCAGAGATGGAACACAGCAACATGGGGTCACAGTTGGAAACTGAAGACTCAGATGAATCACAGGGATGTTAGGAAGCATTTCTTCAGTCACAGAGTTGTCAGGAAGTGGAATAATCTCTGAAGTGATGTAGTGGAGGCAGGATCCATACATAGTTTTAAGAAGAGGTATGATAAAGCAGTAAAAGTGACCCCTTCAACCACAACTAGGTGAGAACAAACACACACACACACACACACACACACACACACACACACACACACACACACACACACACACACACACACACACACACACTTTACCTGTGAGGCCAGGTACTTCATCCCAGCAGCGACCTGAAGAGCTATCTGCAGACAGTCCATTACAGAGAGTGGCTCCGTAGCTGCCTCTTCCCCGGACAAGAGGGCCACGTCCTCGTTGTGGCTCCTGTAGGAGGAACACAGAGATGTTCATATATATTAATACCAATTGTACTGAGAAGCTCTAAAGCCATAGTGGGTCCTAAAGCCTTTGAGAAATGAATGGCAAATAGATTTGATCCATAGATCGAGAAACCTTTACCAGCGTTAAGAGGTTTCCAGTTGCAACAATGACCAGTCGAGTCAGTATATAATACCCACACCCGTAACCACTCATTGTGAAAAGTGGCTGGGTTGAACTCATTATCAAAAGTGGGTGGATTAACTCTATCAGAGGTAAATGGTCTTAACTCATTAACAGAAGTAAGTTTAAATGCACTCTCAAGAGAGAACAGGTATTTACACTGTAGTTACTTTCAGTACATTAAAAGTAACTAGTGTAAATACTTCAATATGAGAGAGTCGAGTGAATTAAAAACAAGAGCATCTGTTAGCTACCTAACAGATGTTTTTATTTTTAATTCACTCGATGCCCAGATGCGCTTCCCAGCTCATCTGGGCATCTGTCCTCAACTGTACACAGGTGTCTTTTTCTACATCTTGTCGGTATCACTATACCACTTTTCAAGAGATGTAAGGGCAAGGATCCCCCAACATCTAATAATAACTAGGTACTTGAACTTCTCCCATTATCTAGTAACAACTAGGTACTTGAACTCCTCCCAACATCTAGTAATAACTAGGTACTTGAACTCCTCCCAACATCTAGTAATAACTAGGTACTTGAACTCCTCCCAACATCTGGTAATAACTAGGTACTTGAACTCTTCCCAATATCTAGTAACAACTAGGTACTTGAACTCCTCCCAACATCTAGTAATAACTAGTTACTTGAACTCCTCCCAGCATCTAGTAATAACTAGGTACCTGAACTCTTCCCAATATCTAGTAATAACTAGTTACTTGAACTCCTCCCAGCATCTAGTAATAACTAGGTACCTGAACTCTTCCCAATATCTAGTAATAACTAGTTACTTGAACTCCTCCCAGCATCTAGTAATAACTAGTTACTTGAACTCCTCCCAGCATCTAGTAATAACTAGGTACCTGAACTCTTCCCAATATCTTTCCTGTATTCACTTTTAATTTTCTTCTTTTGCACACCCTACCAAATTCATCCACCAATCTCTGCAACTTCTTTTCAGAATCTCCCAAGAGCACAGTGTCATCAGCAAAGAGCAACTGTGACAACTCCCACATTATGTGTGATTCTTTATCTTTTAACTCCACGCCTCTTGTCAAGACCCTCGCATTTACTTCTCTAACAACCCCATCTAGAACTGTACTGGGGACCCTCATCCTCAGAGAAAAGAATAAACTTGCTTCAGGGAAAACTCAAGGTTCTCCCTGAAGCTGTTTGAGAATTTTCTCCTGCCACCCCCTATATTTCAAGTTTGTTTTATTTAAAAACAAAATACATTGGCCAAACATTCAGAAAAATAGAACAGAAAGTAAAACAACATACGTAACTCAGAGCTACATCTCGAATACTTCGTCCAGCTCCCCTGCGGTGGGCCGCGTGCCCAGGATGCTGCAGGCATTTCCTCTCTGGATCGCAACACTGAGTCTCTGAAATAGGAAGCTGGTCGCCCTGTGGTCCTTGGTTTCTATGATGAGCTTTTCACCCAGCTCTTTGAGGAACTTTAGAGCACACTTGCCCCATGCACCATGGGTCTCCGACCCTATTGGAATGAAGTTATAGCAAGGGGGAAGGACTTCATATTTTCGGATCTTCTGGGTCTCCCTGTGGCTGGCAGCCCCACCCCCTTCCACTACGGAGTATGACAAGTAGGTGTCTGCCAATGTGGGGGCACAGGTGTACCCCAGGCAATCTGCTTTCCATCCTTCCAGGGTAGTATAGTGGCTCCATCAGGATGCTTTTGACTTCCATCAGACCTCTGTACTTGGGGTTCCCGTTGAGCTGGGCAACGGGCTGTGGCGAGGCTTCTCTTTATGATGTCATTGACCTCCTCATGTCTGGCATACTTCCTTTCTGCTGTGTGACACACGAGACCATATGTATTTATATATGTATGTATACATATATACACAATAGGATTGCGGTCCACTGTGTTAAATTGTGGGACCTTAGCCTCGAAGAAGTGGATAAAAAGGCTTCAAGGAAGAATACTTGGATTTCTTCTTGAAGCCGTTTGAATATTCCACTTCCCCTACCACCCCATCTTTTCATTTTTTTATACATTTTTTATTTATATATATATATATATATATTATATAATATATATATATATATATAATATATATATATATATAAATATATATATATGTAAATATAATATATAAAAAAATTTAATTATATATAATATATATATATATATAATATTATATATATATTTTATAATATATATATATATATATATAATATAATAATATATTGCCAGTTGCCATCACTTGAAGGGGAGAAATCTTGCGGTCCAGCACCAAACCCTAGTGCAGCACTGGCTCACAAACAGTCCAAGGGGGGGATGGCCCCATCGCTGAAAAGGTGCTTGCACATGCCGGGCTGCAACATCAGATAGGAAGATGCCCGTCTCCAGGCTGTGGCGCACCTCCTCGGGGACTTCCTCCAAACAGTTCCCAATCGCCAAGGAACGCGACTCGACCCTAAGACCCTCCGATTGCAGTGGCTCTGCGCCTTGCTGCCCCAAATTCACACAGAATATATGTGTATTTGCGGCGAAGCGCAAGCAGACCAATACGGTCTACATGGTCTTAACTGTTCCAAAAACCCAAGGCTGGCATGCAAGACACAAAGAGGTCAATGACATCATAAAGAGAACCCTTGCTACAGCTGGATGCCCAGCCGAGAGGGAGCCCCGATCACTAGCAGCCAACAAACCCAAACCCAGCAAACCGCCCCGACGGTATCCCCCATTTTTTCCTTGGGAAAAAATGGCAAGGTCTTAGCATGGGACTATACCTGTGTTGTCCACACTGGCGACCCCCTATATCCATCACAGTATGGGGCGACAGGGAGGAGCTGCTGACCACAGGGAGGAGTACAAGATCAGCAAGTGCAGGGACATAAGCCAACAGAATCAATTTGTCCCAGTGGGATCAGAGACCTTGGGATCATGGGGAAAAAATGCCACACGTTTCTTTAAAGAACTGGGTTACAGACTCATCGACACCACCAGGGACCCAAGGGCAGCCACTTTCATGTTCCAGTGCCTCAGCATAGCCATCCAGTGGGGAAATGCTTGCTTCTTACTTGGCTCGCGTCTGGCTTCGAAGGAGCTGGAGGAAATTCATGATCTTTAATATTGTACCATTGTATTCATGTTTGTGTTTTTCTGCAAATGTATTATGCTTATTAATAAATGTTCATATAGAATATAAAATATAGGGGGTGGTAGGAGAAGAAAAATATTCAAACAGCTCCGGGGAGAGCTTTGAGTTTTCCCTGAGGTACGTTTATTGTCTTCTCTGAGGATGAGGGTCCCCATTCCAGCTAAAGAGGTGGTACCTCTCTCTCTCTCTTTAGCTTAATGCTCCCGAATGTTCAAGGATTCTAGTGTTTAAATTATAGTCTTGAGAAGATACAAGTCATTCCCGTCTGTTATGAATTATATTTATAACAAAATAACTACGTACTTTGATGCAGAGTGTATATATATTATATATAAATATATATATAAAAATAAAATATATAAATATATATATACTGTCCCATGGGGAAGTGGAAAAGAATCTTTCCTCCGTAAGCCATGCGTGTCGTATGAGGCGACTAAAATGCCGGAGCAATGGGCTAGTAACCCCTTCTCCTGTATACAAATTTCTAAAAAGAGAAGAAGAAAAACTTATAAAACGGGTTGCTTAAATGTGCGTGGATGTAGTGCGGGTGACAAGAAACAGATGAAATTTCGATGTTATGAATGAAAAGAAGTTGGATTTCCTGGCCCTAAGCGAAACAAAGCTGAAGGGGGGAGAGAGTTTCATGGGGGGAAATAAATGGGATTAAATCTGGAGTATCTGAGAGAGTTAGAGCAAAGGAAGGGGTAGCAGAATGTTAAATGATCAATTATGGAAAGGGGAAAAGAGAATATGAATGTGTAAAATTTAAGAATTATGTGGATTAAAGTAAAGGTTGGATGCGAGAAGTGGGTCATAATAAGCTGTATCACCTGGAGAAGAGAGGAATGCAGAGGGGAAAAGAGAGATTTTGGGAGATGTTTAAGTGAATGTATAGGAGCCCTTGAACCAAGTGAGAGAGTAATTGTGGTAGGGGACTTGAAAGCTAAAGTAGGAGAAACTTTTAGAGAGGGTGTGGTAGGTAAGTTTGGGGTGCCAGGTGTAAATGATAATGGGGGCCCTTTGATTGAACTTTGTATAGAAAGGGGTTTAGTTATGGTAATACATTTTTAAAAAAGAGGAAAATAAGTAACACATAATGTAGGGCGAAAAAGACATAGTTTGTTGGTTATGATTGGTAGAAAAAAAACTGTTTAGTAGACTTGGATTACGTTTAAGAGGGGGACAAAATATCAACACTTTCATTGTAGCTACACTGGGTAAAAGGTAGTGGGATACAAGGAGAAAGAAGCATCAGGGGAAAAGGAGAGGTAGGTTTAAAAACTAAAAGAGGACAGTTGGGGTAGTTAAACAGCTTTTGGGGGAAGAGGGGCTTTGAGAGCATGGGCAATGGGGGTCAAGAGGTAGGGGGTTTTTTTAAAAAAATGTATTTTTAGAGTGTTCGCAGAAGTTTGGGGTTACGGAAAGGGGGTGCAGGGGGGAAAGAGGACGATTGGGGGAATGATGATGTAAAGAGAGTAGTAAGGGGAAAAAAGTTAGCATATGAGAATTTTTTTTACAAAGTAAAAGTGATGCAAGGAGGGAAGAGTATAGGGAGAAAAAGGAGAGGTTTTAAAAAGTGGTGAAGCAAGTAAAAAGAGAACAAATGAGAGTGGGGGGAATGTTAAAAAAAATTTTGTTGAAAATAAGAAAAAGTTTTGGATGGATTTAACAAAATTAAGAAAGCCTAGAGAA